TAGCTATCCCTAACCAACCCCACCTGCCTGGCAGCACACTAAGTGGGTGAAGACTCCCTGTGGTTAATCAGCTCAGAAGGGAAGGGCCAGCCTGCGCTACCCCTGCTTGCACCCCAGTAGCCACCAATAGACAGGGGAAAGCAGCAAACAGCAGACACACCTAGCCCACACACTTCAGAGTAACTATGATCAATACAGGAAGTCCTGGGGACCCTGCTACCCACTTGTCCAGAAGAAACTAGGAACAGGACAAGAGGAAGAAGCAAAAGGCAGTCTCTGGCCTCCAACCTTAGCAACTAGTCCAGGAGATGTAAACACAGAAGAGATTGGGAGTTGCACACCTGTAGTTTTTGAAACAATGGCAACTGAAATAAACAAACAACTCAGGAAGCTATGAAAGAACTTAGAACAGATGAAAGGTGCTCAGGAAGGACATTTTCAGAAATGGGTCCTAGGTGGAGGTAAAGTATTCCAAGTACAGAACAACCACTCAGCCTTCAAATATCATCCTGAGGAGTAAAAAGAGTTTGTAGGTGAAATACAGGAAAGAAAATGGTCTGTCTCACAGAAAGAAACAATTATCAAGTGATAATGATCCAAATTCCCAGACCTTCTTTACGGCTGTTAAATTATACTTAATCCTAGTGATCACAAAATTCCACAATTTCCAGCACACAATATGATGAGAGAGTATTACAGCTGAAGGAGGTGCAGGTTCTGCGCTCATCTGAGAGAATTCAGTGAAGCTGCAGACAGCAGAGGAGACAGAGGAGCGGACAGAAGCGCCTTAAGCAGCCTCTGCCTCCACCACCTTCCATACTGTGCTCAGAGCCCCCAAATCCTCAAACTCAGTTTTCACTCTCCACTTGGTGATTATGAAAGAGTTTTTGGCACAGTTAGAAGACAGAATATAAAGTAAAGTGGCCTTTATTTTAAGGATGGGGAGAGAAACTCCATGACCGCTGGGGCCTAGATTCCTCTGCCGAACATATATTGTTGGGGGCATACATATAGCTTTCGTCTGGGCTGGTGCCTACAGCAGCAGTGCTGATGCTCCAGCAGCCACTTGGAACTCATTTTGCAATACAGTAAATTGCCTAGAGTCTGGCAAAATAACCTCAAGGTAAACATCCCTTGGTTCTGCCTCTCACTGCTATAGTGTCCTATCTAGGGAAAATCCTTTCAGATTACAGCAAGGTTTATCTCAGCTGAGTATTTAGAACATCCAGGTGTGCCAAGATATGAAGATAGAGTCACAGAGCCATAAGGACACACCTGACAGACATGTTCCTTCAACCACCTGATCACACACCTGACAGACTCAAGTCCATGTCTATATTAGTTTCTGAGTTCATGAATGGAAAAGCCCAGTATCTGGAGCACACCAGACAAACACTGTGTCCTTGCTGGAGAGAATGTGTCCAGTAGAGCTTGGATCTCCCTCATGGAGATGAACGTTCACCAGGCAATGGCTGCCTTCAATTTGTGTCCCTGAAACCACACCACCAAGGTCAGTAGGCAAAGGTGCTAATACTGAGTCACTTTTTGCAGTGTGTAGAACACACCCAAGGATATACGTAAGATCAAGAAAGCTCCCTGCCTGCAGAGGGGAGAGCAAAAGAGAACTTAACAGGGAACCTACTCTGAACCTCAGTCAATAACAGATTCCAAAAAAGGGACATGTTCCTCCAGGACCTGGATCACTGAATGATCTAAAATTAGAATCCTGTAAAGACTGCAATGCTTTACTTATCTTTCTTCTATAGGGGGCCTAGGTAGTGACAATCTGTAGGAACCTAGGACTCCTTCATCTACAAATGCCCTGGTTTTCCTTTGGCAACACCAGCAGTGTCTGAGGCAGAGAAGTTATTTTCTCCACAGATGGATGATAAATTTCCAGGAGCTGAATGCAGACTATAGGTAATGCAGGTTGAAATTTAAAGGTTTTTACAACTTTACATACTTTTTTCTGAGTTTCCACATTGAGCGGACTGCAGTACTATGAAAGAAGACTCTGAGAACACTGGATTTGAAACAAGAGTGCTCAGAGTCCAAGAAGCAGTAGGGACCTGTAAAGGTACCTTCCACTTCTGTCAGCCTTGTGTCTCAGATCAGAGACACCTGTCCAGGGAAAATGGACACAGGATGAATGTCAGGTGAGCCAGGCTTAAACCCCCTGCAGGGGCCACTTCCTTCTCCAGGAGACACTGCTGGAGTGCTAAGGGCCTTCTCTCGATCCTAACACACAAATCCTGGTGATTGCCTGGGAAATATGGATGGTTAGGTGACACAGAGAAGATAGATCAAATTGGAGGTTGACATAGTGTCATGTGAGCTGGTTGTAGGACATTTTTGGTATCCCATCCCTGAGTGCTCATCTTGGATAGAAGTCAACAGTACAGGGCATTTCTCATCAATAAGCACAAATTTTGTTATAGTATTTTACATAACACCATCAGTTATCAGCATGTTTTCTTCTACTTGTTACTCTTCAGCAATTTCTAGGGTTGGAATGATTTGTGCACACAGGTGCTGGAGATTGTGCTTACTACTGCCTTCAATTAAATACAAGGCATTCAACTCCAGACACCAGCCCAAGAGCCTGTTTTGTGGCTGCCACCCTGTGTGGCCCTGTAGACCCTGCTGTGCAACACTGTGTTACAGACAAAAGGAGTGAAATCAGTGTGCACCAAGACAGAACAGCCATGTAGAGACAGAAAATTGAGATTTAGGGCACCAAGTGGCTGAGCTGCACTGTGAGGCAGCTCATGTACTTTGGAGAGGAAGAATGGAGAGGGGATATGTGGTAGGACTGTACATCATAGACACACAGACAGAGTCACATATGCAGATACATGCACACACACAGAGAGACACACATACACACAGGAACACAGATACACAGAGAGACACACTCACATAGTGCCTTTCGACCATTCCTCCTTTGATGTAGCTGCTTCATGTCTTATTTTACATTTTTACCAATATGAGGTGAGCTCTGTGCTCTGTCTCACATTCCCTCCATGGTCTGATCTTCAAGAAAATATGGGCTAAAATACACCTTCACTACAAATTCCATTTCCAATATCTGAAAATTTGAGATGGTTTATCACAGTAATAGAAAGTTCAGTAACACTAATGTGAAATGGCAAAAGTTCAGTTGCCATCTCTTTTTATAAATACAAAAAATATTTAGCAATCCAAAATTCATTAATAGGGCTGGGGATTTAGCTCAGTAGCATAGGTGCCTGCCTTGCAAGCATGCAGTCGCAAGTTTGATCCCCAGTAGCCCCCCAAAACAAAGGAATGCATTAATAACAGAATGCATTTAATATTAAGACCAGTAAAGCACCTGTGCACTGTGGAGGTTGTCACAGAGATAGTGTGCAAGTTAACTGCATGAATTTCATATGGAACCTGCTAGTGCCAGGTTTCCAATCTTTACTAAGGAGTGAATTCAGGACTCAGATAAGTCAGAAGCCTGATGATTAGAAACAGAATGTTATGCACTTGATGTGAGAAACATCCATCACATTAAATCTGGTTAGATACATGACTGGTAGTTAAAACTCCATCAACACACTTAAAAGAAAATCTCCTGTTCAAGAGGCACTGTTATTAGGTAGACAGCAAGACTATTACCAAAACCCAACAAGTAATCATTGCAGAGAAAATTATTGAACCTTTTAATTTGATAGAAATTGAGCTCAGGGACTCACAAGGACAAGGAATATAGCCTTGGACAAAAGCAGGAACTTGGGAGTTATTTTTCTTATTTACCAAAAGTAGAAAGGTAAGAAAAGATGTTTTAGCTGCTCAATAACTGGAATCCATAAAAAAGCAGACAAATGATTTTCTACCTGACCTAGTCACAGGTGAGTGTGCCCACCCTACTACTGTCCTATAGTAAATGAGTGAATGTAACATTCATAAAACTAATGGCTTAGAGAGAGTAAGATTGAAATGGGAAATGAAAACACTTTGTTTGCAAGAAGGAAAAGTAATGAGGGCCAGACACCTACCTGTGAGAAGGTAGTGGCCAGATAACTGAGGGCCTTTGTTCCTGCTGCACTGATTAAAGAGGCAAAAAAGCCCTTTCCTGGGACTTGTGCCAGGTCCTGCAGTCCCAACTCAGGTACCATTGCCTTCCTGCAAATTCCTATATCAGATTCATTAGATTTTCTTTCATGCTGTCTATATTTTAGACCTAAAATTTATGAGTTGTTTAAAATCAACCTTAGATATGAAGTCAGGTCAACAATTAGGCAACAGGATAATGCACTAATTATAATGACCCTAGCATGGGATATATCCATACATGCCAAAAGTGTTTTCACTTACAGTCAAAAGTGTTTTTGCATCCCACACTCCATACCAGGAAATCTAGTGGATCACGTGTGGGACTCTGTTGTAGCAATTGTTGTGAACCTCGGCTTGGCTAGGTTTATCATGAAAATTTAGGTATGATTTATAACACTGGATACAGAATAAACTTTTCTGAAGCAGTTAGACTGTCTTTTTTTTTCCTTCATCTTTACTTTTCCCAGAAACCTGTTACTGTTTATGTATAGTTTCTTCATTCACGCTGTAATGCAGTTCTCTTGGTGGATGCACACTAATTAGTTCAATGCAAATGAGCAGACAGAGAAATCCCCTGTGAAAATCTGGGCAATAAATGTTATGGGCTCATTCCTGACAGCAGCCCATACCCATTGCAGTTTGTCCTCATCTGACTTGGCCAAATAATCTTTTATGTCTTCAAGGGATTTGTTTTTTCCAGAGGATGTTGACCAGCGAACATTTAGGACCCAACTTAAGGAGAGGGCACCTAGGCCTTTAGGAAACCCAGGACATCTCTTAAAAAGCCAGTAGTAAAGCCCTTAAAGGGAAGTAGGAATACTGACAGATGAGGGTGACATCACAGGAGAGAGTCGGGCCCAGGAGCCAATCATTGATAAAGGTGGGTCTGGCAGCTCATCCAATCAGGTGGGCCAAGGGAGGAGGGTCTTCCCTGCGGTGGTGCAGAAGGACTCTCTGTGAGTTCAGTGCTGACAGCCCGGAGCTGAGCACACTTCTAGATTCTGTGAGTTCTTATTGTGGGCTGCAAAGGATCCTCGGACACCCTCAAGCACAATGGTAAGTTGATGGTACCGGAGCTGGGAATGGGGTGGAATTGTGTGAGTTTTGGAAGGAAATGGGCTGAGCCACTGTAAGCCCAGATCGTCTTTTTGGGCAGCCCCAGGCACAGCTTGTTTTGGGGTGAGCGGTTGATTGGAGGCAAACCTGAGTCGTGTCCTCAAAATGACAAAAACTATCATCTGAATTCCATATGTGAGACCTCTCCTTGAATGATATTACTTCATAAACAGAACTCATAATCTCACAACACTGATTGCGGAGTTCCGGAACCAAAATAAAAAATGAGAAGAGCTCCTTGGCTTCCGGAATGCTTCCCCTGTGAGTAGTCAGCTGGCCGGGCACACGCGGCTCTGTGGATTTAAAATAGACGTTTATCTATCTATTTATCTTCCTTTTTCTCTTTTCTTTTCTTTTTCGTTTTTTATTGTTTGGATACAGAGTGTATCTGTGTGGTCTGGACCTTACCTCTGGGCCTTCCTCCTCCACCAGCCTCCATTGTGAGGAGATGACAGTCCTGAGTCACAGCACCCAGAAAAAAGCTCTACTTGAGCCCATGTTCTCTAACCCATTTCTTCAGCCTGTGGGGTCTACAGGAAACGGGGTTTAGAGATAAACTGGCTGTATGTATTTAGTGTTCTGTTATCTCAGGAGTTTAGTAAGTAGCAGCTGCAAGTCCCCATAGTAGACAGAAATGTGCCTTTTATTGTGGGCAAGAACATTCACTGCTGGTTCAAACACTATTTTCATTTTAATTTGTTTCAAACCCAGTAATTTTGCAACTTTTCTAGTGTCTTAATTATATGCTAAGTAAATAAACACTTTTTTTTACAATTGAACTACTGAAGCAAGGCTTGTCATAATTTAGAATGCTGTGAGGTATTTGGGTGATCCTGATGCTTTAGCTCCTGAGGGAAAAGTTCCTGCAGAGAATAACTTCCTGTAGGTGCTGCCTATTAATTCCACACTGAGAAATACAGCACACTGGTGTCTCTAAGCATGAAGAGATGTGATATATAGAGAATGGAAATGGGTGTCATATCTGAAAAAATTGCTGTAGTCTTTGGGCTGTGCTTAGACTTTGACCTACAATATGCAGTACTTAGTTGGACATAGTGACAGGTGCCCTTATTCCCAGCACTCAGGTGCCTCATTCTGGAGGATCCTTGCAAGTTTAAGGCAAGCCTTGGCTCTGAAGTGAGCTCAAGGGTATCCTAAATTGCATTGTGAGACCCTGTCTCAAAAAGACAAAAAAATTTTAAACTTTGAGATGGATTTTTTGCTGAGGTAGGAGTATATTCACCTAGGATCTGCATGAGTATTAAAGAATAAAAACAAAAGTTCTTTTTGAATGAGAAGAGCCAAAGGGATTGAAAGGAAATGGGAGAGCAGAGGCATGTGGTGGGAGGCCCAATCAGCAGCCAGAAGAGTAAAGGACTTCTGAGGTGAGCTTGACCTAGTGTGACAGCACTGAAGGGATGTCTGCCTGCTAGGTCTGAGAATAGGAAAAGGGTCAGAGGCCTATAGAAAGGAGGGAGACCTTGTCATAGATCAATACTTCTTCTGTGTCTACTGATAAGCTCCTCCCATCATCTCTGAGGTTAGATAGGAAATTAGAACCCTAGTATTGGCGGTTTGAACATATGTTGGACATCATACCTGAAGTAGCAAGGGAAGTTTTTTATGTTGGACACCAAAGATTTCAAGGCACATATCATGTTTCTTATTGTCCAGTGACTGGCCTTAGAAATTTGGCCCTTAGCTTCATCCTCCCAAATTTGAAAAAATATTTAATTGTTTAACAAATATTTTTATTGCGTTTTGAGATAAGGTCTTACTACTTTGCTAACTTGGCAAGAAGTCTTGAGACTTTGCCGGCACTTGGACTGTTGAGTATGTGCAGTACAAGTTCATGTTCTCTCAAATTTAAAAATGAATTTTAGGAACAGCAGAGGTTAAATGCAGAAGTATTTATTGAGCAAAAGAAAACTTCTGTCTGAGAGAGAGAGACAGAAGGATTCTCCAGTAAACTACTGAAGACTCTTTTTTCCTGGAATAAAACCATGAGGTGAGGCAAGCGTAAAGCGGACAAGGTGTAAAGGGAGTTTCAAGCATCATCTACTGTAGTGCAAGGGTTTCAGGTGTGCACTGCCTTGCCTGGGTCAGTGTTTTCACTTTTATGTCACCAAATTCCACCAAGGTTTACAGTTTTAGGGTAAAGTAAACAACACTGAGTCATGGTGGTGCACAAATTTAATGACAGCCCCTTGTGAGAGTTAGGAGTGTTTCAAAACTAACACCACTCTGGATAACTGAGCAAGAGATTTTTTGATATGAGATGCACATTGAAGGTTTATATCCATCCTAAATTACCTTTTATAAAGTCCATGGGACCTTAGATAATGAAGAGAAAAATATTTACAATTTAAACTTCTATTGAATTTTTAAGTTGACACATAGTATCTACTAGTGATACATGGCACATTGCAAAGTTTATATGCTCATGTCAGGGGACACAGAGATGAGTCTTTGGTTTCAGAAAAAAGACATCATAGGTGAACAACCTGTGACTCACAGTGTCCAGTATTCAGTAAGATACATGTGATATTTAGTGGTGTATTATAAATTTATCTTTCTGTTGTATCAGAAATAAAGATCAAGGCATTTGTATTCAGCACCTTGAAAAACATCTACTGCTTAGTGACGGTGTTTGCAGTATCAGGCTTGTTTTTGGGCATATTCGATGCATTTTCTTTTCAATTACTTTTAGGTTGATCAAGTCATTTTCCTTTCACAGCTCAAATGTTACTTTTATGTCAGTCCTTCCAGTCTTCATATTGTCCCCTACACAACACAAGCCTCACCCAGTTGTTTGCAGTTTGGAGAGCTGTGTTCAGCTGTTTCTCTTGAGCAGCTCCATCAGGAGAGCAGTGCAATCCTGTTTGGATATGTGAACACCTTTGGGAGCATTTTGTGTCTTTGTTTCCGTGGATTTTATTATTATTATTGTACTGAAGTGGTCCATTCTGGACATACTGCTTGACATGTGTTTCCCACATGAGAGGATAAAATGGAAATTTTAAAATGGCAGAAACTGAGCCGAGTGGTTAGCACTATGCTTAAGAGTAGACATAATAAGTATTTCTGTAATATATCTTTTAGTGTCATATCTGTAACACAGCATCAGGTTTATAATTTCAATTGAATGGTGTGTTTGCCTCAGAATGATTCAAATGTTTGGCATTTTCACCTTTTTAAAGAGAGAGGAGTTTCTAAGGTACCTAGCACTTACTGGAGTATTGACTACATGCATAGTGGTGTGAGCATACAGAATGAGTTCAAAAAGATGAATAGAGCATGAAGTCACTAGAGATAGAGCACCCGGGGCTACACTCAAGTGGATGGGGAAGGAGACAGTGCACAGGAAAAATGGACAATTCCCATTGGATATTGAAAAGGGGCTGCCTATTAAACAAATTAATCTCCTTGAAATTAGCAATTCACATCTACATGCAATTTTTAAAAACTGGGAATCAAACAATCTCATTGCCAGGCAGGCACTGCGCTGCTGAGGTACATCATTGGCCTTGTAAAAGAATTTTTCTGTGAGTGCAGAGAGAGAAGCACAATTGGTCATGTAATTATTATAATTCATTGGTAGTGACTGAACACTGTTGAAAAGGACATGCTAAATGATGCACTTTGTGCTTTTTATAGCTGTTTCACGTGTGGTTTTCACATTTGTGAAATTACAGAATGTGAATCGCATGTGGTATACTGCTCGTAATTTCAATCCACTTGTTTATACTTGATACATATTTACATTGGTTTGTATCTGTATTTCAAACCAGAGATGTCTGTTGTACATTAAGTCATAGATTCTACTAAAGTTTTGGTGGAACTATAATTTTTTTTCACCATATACACTGGTATTTGAAAGTGACTACGTTTTTATGCATTCCAACTGATTCTCTGCTAATTTTGTTTCACTTGTTATGACTTTTCTGTGTCCACTGACATCACTGTAGGAAGTTTTCCCTCTGGATTGTAATGTATTTAATTACATTAATTACTCAATAATGCCTCTAACATTTTTAAGAATTTCTTCTTTATTGTTGTTTAGATTCTGCACAAATACAGAGCAATGAAATATTTTATTTTCTGTGGAGTGATTAACATTTTTATATTGCAGCAGTTTTCTCTAGTGCTGTCTGGGAACTCAGCTCCTGGAGTCTCAGGGATGGGCCTGTTATGGGCAGTGCTGGACCTAGTCTTAGACTTCCCAAAGACTCTGATGCAGAGTACTGATACTATGCACTCAGCTCACAGTCACACTGATGAGCTTCCCTCTGCCCTGTGTTCGCTAATGTTCTGACATTGAAATCTTTCTTTTTTTCCATACCTACATTCATTGTTTTTAATATGAGTTGAGGCATCAATTTTGAGTAATTGAAATAATTCCAAATGGACATACTCAGTCATGGATTATGAAATCATTAATCATTTAAAATTTTTTTGAAATGTGTCATTTAAAAAAGTTATGATTAAATCTCTCATTCTGAGAGTATTCTTAATTTGTTTCTGCTTTTCATTTCTAATTTTATCCCAGTATTGTATAAGAGCCTGCTTGGCATGGCTTTCACTACACTGACTACATCACCTTCTGTATTGCTGCTCTGATCCTGAGCCACATGTCATACTTGGCTTATAGTAAGGCAATGTGCTGTGTATTTCTGTGATAAAACATTTGATAGAATCCAACTGATATACTGCTTTGAATTGTTATCGTGTTTATGTGTGACTTTAAAGATTGCTCTGCCTTCTTGAGCTGTTAGTCACTGATTGAGTTGTTTTGAATTCTTAAACATATACTTGTAAAGACTGATTTTTTCCCTTCCAATCCTATTTCTGTTTTTGTGGTCTGTTTTTCTTTGCAATTGGATATGTATTAAGGAATGATGTTTGTGGGCTGATTGTACATGTGCAATACAGTAAAGCTAATGTAGCTTCAGTAGATTTTGTCGAATGAATGCGACCCAAGTATGTCTGTATGCATAGCTTTCTATTTAATCTATCCTCATCAGTTCCATATAATAAGCACTGGTCTCCAGGTAGTTAGAGTACTTGCCCATTACCGAGGTGTCTAGCTATTAATCATTTCTGACACGGGTTCTTTCAGTCCCTTTAATCTGACCTGTTCTCTTGGTAATGTGACCTGCTCTCTTGATAGGCTGACCTATTCTGCTGTTAGTGAATTTAGCGTTTCATGACTGTCAGCTGTGGATTTGTTGCACTCATGTTTGCAACTGTAGTTTGCTTATCACTACCTAATACAGATTCTGTCTCATCATTTCATGTCTGAAGGCAGATAAGCAGATATAAATGAATAAGTACCTATATTGCATTTTATTGTTTTAATCATTTAAAGAAAATCTTGTTCCCAAAGCTTTTGTTTACATTTAATGATAACAATGAAAGTGTCTCACGTGTATTCAGAAGGTTTCACATTGGGTCTTAGGCAAGAAGTGAAAGTAGCCAGGTACAATCGTTTCAGGTCAGAAGGTATTATTGCATGATTGATGACAATTCTCCTTTGGAAATTTTCCAAAGTTTACAATCTGTGGTTTTTCATGGAGACTGTCTTTTCACCTTCTCCTTTCTAACTTTTCAGGAACTACTTTAGAAATTTCACATAGAAATATTTTGTGAGGTTTCATGGTGTTTCTCAATTTAGTCACCTTTTACTGTTGTTCACAAGGACTTGGATGTGAATCAAGGCCAAAGTACTTTCTCATTTAGTCTCTTGGTCACAGTTTCTGACTCTTTAATTTCCCTTGAAAAGAATCACATATATTCCCAGGAATCATAGGACAATGTATTTTCTAGACATTAGAGAGATGGATCTTGTCTGTGGATTTTCATAAACTCCATAGTAAAGGTATTCGTGGAATTCACTAGCTGAGTGTTAATTTAATAAATGTAATTGTTTTGTTCTTCCACACTTCAATATTGCTTGGTGATTTTCACAAATGTGATTTAGATTTTCTTTTCTATTCAGTATTTTTCTTGAGTGTAATAAGTTTTTGTTTATTTTTAGATTTGTGCTCCTTGATCTTAACTCTGTATGTAAAATCTTTGTATTGTGTTTCCAACAAACGTTTTCTTGTTTAATTCCCATCTTCATAGATTTCAATTTCTTCTAATTTTCATGGTTACTTGATTTTCTTCTGAGGAAACTTTCTCATTAACTGAGTGTTTTTTATCTTAAATTGCACAGTCATTCATGTTTCTCTTTCCCATTTCAACAGTTCACCAGTGCACATAAGTGAGGAGATTTTACAGTCCAGATATCTAAGGTCATACTGTTTCTCTCTGAATGTAAATGAAACACCTTTGCTTTCTTCCTGGTAGGCATAACATCATCTGAATCATGAAACAATATTCATTCTACATGCCTGTGGATGCATTGCGGATTGCCTTCCTTTCCTGAGATTCATTTGTCCACTGAGATGAATGCTGAACTTCAAATATTTTCCATGTTACGGAGTTATGTGGAATGCTTCCTTACTCACAATATTGAATGTTTGTAAGGTTTTTCCTTTCATTTATAATTGTTGAACAAATCAAATGTGTGTTTAGTTTGTTTCTTTTTGGTATTGGAAATTGAACTCAGGACCTTGAACATATCAGCCAGGTGCTTGTACCACTGAGATGTATCCTTGGTACAAAGGTGTGATTTGTAAATGAGTGAATTAATTTTAGTTTTCATTTGTTGAGGGAGTTTGATGAATAGCCACACTTTGTAATCTGAGCTGGTCTTATTACATAGCCTGGGCTGGACACTGTATGCATTACATTCCTGAAATTCCTCTTACATCTGCCTCTAAAGTGCTGGGAGAACAGGCATGTACTACCCCACTGGGCTGAACTCTTCCTTCTGTAGTTAGTGACGGATGGACTTTTTGACGTGTCTTAAATGATAGAAAATATGAAATAAAAGTGGTCTTCATTCCCAGAACATGGAGAGCAAAGCCCCACCACTGAGGTGTGGCTCTTGTCTCTGCTGGACTCGTGGTATGGGGGCTTACATATACCTTTGGTCTGGGTGGTGCCTCAGGGGCTTTACTAATGCACAAGTACCCATTGCAATTCATTTTTGTCCCACAGGCAAATTGCATAGGGGTGGGGAAGATGACCTCAAGACAGAGCCCCTTGGTTTCGCCTCCTAGCCTCCCGCTGCACGTGTAGGGCAAAATATTTTCATTCCTGTCCTTTTATTATTAGGAAAAGGGTGAAGTTTTTCTTTCCTTTACTAATTGATGCTGAAAGGCGGGGGGCGCCGTATTGGGGTTTAGGAGGGTCAATGGGATGACGGTTGATGCCCATGCAGAAGCTGGTGCCAGGTGTTTTAGCCAGGACAACTTTATCATTGGTGAATGCCTGCACATTAGACTGGAAAAACAAAGAGACAAGGTGTTATGAGTAGGCAGGCCACTATCATATTCAAGGACTCAGGGGAGGTAGAAGACAAAGTGCCTTTGATTTAGATATGTAAAATCATTACCACAGTGAGATAGAATTCTGAACAATAAGTGTGGAGTTAGGAGGAGAGAAGTTATGAGAGGTGATTATTTCCCCATCTGCAAGGGTAAATGTTAAGAGTGTAGGTAGGTAGGACTTGTCTCTGGTCCACGAGTTGAGCTGGAAAGAGTAGGAGGGGTGGGGAAAGCTGTGGTTGTGTCACTATTGGGAAAGTAAGAGCCTAGGCTTTCAGGGATCCCACCTTTGACCAAACAGCTGAGGATAGAAAGAACTAAGACAGTTGTCACATAGCACAACATGAAGATGATCTTGCACATGATGGAGGAGTCTTTAGGAAAGACTGTTAAGCGTCCTGTTGTAAAAATGATAATTAATAAAATGTAAGAAAGTAGGAACCAAAGTGGATAACAAAACATGACTTAGCCTGAGAGTTATGGCTGTGGGGCCTTCATGAAACGGAGATGAGTAGGTGACAGAAGATGAGGTGACCACTCTGAATGGTTAGATTTAGGGCTGGGAGAGCACTGCTTAGCCTGAGTGATGTGCAACCAGAATAGGAGTCCAGCAACTTTTACCACTGTAGGGTAAGGAGACTAGACTGGGGTCGCTCCACCTTGGTTGTGGTCCTATGGATTTAAAACGTTTGAGATTAATTAAATCTCCTAAGGATAGGAGGATCTGGTTTGGCCCCTTCAGAGTGTTGAAGAAGGCAGAGATCAGCATGTTGTCGTAACAAGTGTCAGAGGAAGGAGAGGACTGAGATATAGTCAGCAAGAGGAAGGAGGCTTTGGGGAGGAGGATGATTGTGGAGTAAGAATGGCCTGCCATACATAAGTTCAAAAGGACTTAAAAATGTTGGGACTCGGGGAAGTGTCCTGAGCTTGGGTAAGGCTAAGTGTTGGAGTTGAGGCCAAGGTTGGTGCAGTTACAAAATGAGCTTTGTAAGGTGTTTTTATGAGGCCATTTGCCTTTTCTACTTTTCCTGAGGATTGTGGCTGGTATGTAACGTGTAGGCGCCAGGTGTTGTGTAAGCTTGAGGATACCTGTTGAGTAATATGAGAAAAAAGATTGGACCATTATCTGACTGAAAACTCTGAGATGGCCAAACCTTAACTTGATTTCCTGTAATAGTACTTTAGTAACTACAGCAGTCTCCCTGGTTGTGGGAAAGGCATCTCTGCATCCTAAAACTGTACAAACAAAGGTGAGAAGTTATTTGAGAGTTTTGTGGTGTGGCATATGTGTAAAATCTGTCTGTCTTTCCTGGCCCAGGGTGTGTCCTTGAAATTGATGAGTAGGAAAGGAAGGGGATGCTATATGTCCCTGAGGAGAGGTCTTGCCCAGAGATGACAGTAATCTCAAGAATGAAAACTGTTAGAGAAGGGTGTGTGACTACTGGGGCTAAGAATTTGTATAGGCCTGTGATTGTATATGGAACCTGTTATGTAATTCAGTGATGATATCATGGCCTGCTAATCTGAGAGAACAAGTTTTGATCCTTGGAAAATCCATTCCTGAGTGGTTTGTTTGTAATCTGGTTTATGAAGTAACTGTAGCTGTTCTGGTGAATTATTAGGCTGACGTAGACTGTTTTGAACAAAAGGGAGAAGATGATAAGGATAGGGTCTTTGTTCAGCTAACTTGGCCTATGAATCTGGAGAGCCATTTCCTTGAGCAGTGGATCTGCAGAATTCTGGTGTGCCCTACAATGAATGACTGCTGCCTATTTTGGGAGTTGTGCTGCCTCTAGAAGTTTAAGGATAAGAGATGCATTAATGATGGGGGTTCCCTGAGAGTTAATAAAACCCTGTTCTTGCCAAATGAGTGTAAAATGCCAAATGTATACTTTGAATCAGTGTATATATTTATGACTTTGTCTTTTGCTAGTGTAAGAGCCCTTTTAAGGACAATAACTTCTGCCCTCCAGGAAGAGGTTCTAGGTGGCAGTGGATTTGCCTCTATAACTTTTGACTGGTTAATCATTGCATATCCTGTTTTTTTTTTTTTCGCTGTCTGTTTTTGTTGAACTTTCATCTATGAACCATGTGTGAAAGGCTAGAGAGAGAGAGGTGTGCTACTGATGTGAGGGAAAAGGTGGAAGTCATCTGTAAGACATCAAAGCAGTCATAGTGGGAGTGGCCCTCTGAGGTGGGAAGTAAGGTTGCCACATTAAGAGGGCCACTAGTTGCAATGGAAATGCAAGGGTCTAGCTAGAGACTAGGTGTATCTGTTGAAGGTGAGAAGGGGTCATCAGGGCAGTGAGTGCCTTATGTGAGATGAGCTCATTTAAGTGATGAGGTGAGTGTACCATAATAGACTTCTGTACTGTAAACTTTTTAGCTTCTTGTGTCAGTAGGTCTGCAGCCACAAGGGCTCAGAGACAAGGAGCTCATCCTTTTATTGTGTTGTCTAACTGTTTTGACAAGTAGGCTATGCTCGAAAACAAGGCCCCTTTTTGTGTCCTAGTACACCTACAGCATTGTGACCCTGAGAGGTAGTATACAGAGTAAAAGGTTGGGTGGGATAAGGAAGGGTAAGGGCTGGAGCTCTTAGGAGAGCCTCTTTTAATTTATGAAAGGAGGCATATATAGGCACAGTGGGGTCTAGGGATTCTGATAAAGTACCCGTGGAGGCCTTGTAGAGGGGTTGAGCGAGGGCTGCAAATTTAGAAATCCAGAGATGAAAGAAATTAGCAAAACCTAGAAAAGATGTAACCTGTTGTTTAGTTGTGGGCATCTGGAGATCTTGAAGAATAGCTTTATGATCTGTGATGATAGAACAAGCGGTGGGGGTGAGAGAGAGACCTAGATGTTTAACTTTTGGGGACGTTATCTGGACTTTAGCAAGAGTGACCCTGTGTGCTTGACTAGCAAGAAAATTAAGTAGATTAGCTGAATGCTGTATCGTTAACATACGGGATGGAGAACATAAGAGAAGGTCATCTATGTATTGAAGAAGGGTACTAGGTTTGAGATCAAGTTCTGTGAGGTAGTAGTGAGAGCTTTGCTAAAGATGTGGGGACTATTGTTGAACCCTTGGGGGAGCACTGTTCAAGCACGTTGTTGAGACCTGGGTGTCTGGGTCACTCCATGTAAATTCAAAGAGGTCCTGATGCTCAGGGTGTAGGGGGATGTTGAAAAAGGCATCTTTGATCTAGAACCATAAAATGAATGGTGGAGGGATGAATATGAAAGAACATGCTATAAGGGTTTGGCACTGCTGGGTTGTTTGGGGTAACAGCACTATTGATTACCTGTACCAGGCAATAGGACCCATCACGTCTCGGTACAGGGACAATGGGAGCATTATAGGGTGAATGGGTAGGTCTAAGAAAACCATTGTCTAAAAGGTACTTAATTATAGGTTGAAGTCCCTGTACTTACAGTTTAGGAGCTATGGGATATTGGGCAATACAAGGAAAATTTGAAGGATCCCTGAGATGGATTAAAATAGGCATGGCATGAGTAGCAAGGGTGGGATTGTAGGTATACAAACTATGGGATCGACCAGAGAAGAAGGAAGGGAGTGAATGACTTTGCAGAGCACTGTGAGGGTGTTTGGAGGACTAGAGCAGTGGAGAGGGAGAAGTTAAAGGAGAAGTTAAGCTTTTCAAGAAGGTCTCTACCTAAAAGGAGTGTGGGGCATGTTGGAATTTCTAGAAAGCTATGGGTCAAGAAAAGAGTCTGCATGGGATAGGCCCAGTCTGCAAAGGCTGTGTAGGCTGGCTGTCAGTGCCCACAACAGATATTGAGGACTTAATACCAGTACCTGAAAACTCAGGAAATACACTGTGAGTTGCCCCTGTGTCCACAAATACAGATAGTGTCTTACCTGGGACCTCCAGTTAGACTCCAGGCTCCAAAAAGGATATCTTAGTGAGTCTGTGGGCCCCGAACCCTATCAGTCTTCAGCACCAAGTCTGACCAGATCTGTCAGTGATGAATCTGGCAGTGATGGGGTTTCCTGTGAGGGTGAGGAGGTAGCACATCGCTTACCTGTTCTCTGGTGGCTAGGACATTCACTCTTCCAGTGGCCCTTAATGTT